TGCAGTCTTTCACCATTAAATATAATGTTAGCTGTGGGTTTTTGTAGATGCCCTTTATCAAGTTGACGAAGTTACCTTCTGTGCCTAGTTTCTATCAGGAAAGGTACTGGATTTTGTCCAATGCTTTTTCTGTATCTATTGAGGTACTTGTGTAAAGGGGTTTTTTCCTCATATACTCTATTAATACGTTTTGTGTTGATTGCTTTTCGTATGTTGAATCGTACATTTATATTCCTGGGGTAAATCCTACTTGGTCATGGTGTATAATCCTGTTTATATGCTTCTGGATTTGGTCTGCTAGCATTTGGTTGAGGATTTGTGTGTCTGTGTTCATAAAGTAGATCTATAATTTTCTAGTCTTGTGATTACCTTTGTCTGGTTTTGGCAACAGTAATACTAGCTTCATAAAGTGAATTGAAAAATTGCAGTAAATATCTTACATATAATTTTTATAATCTTTTGTATTATTTTCTTAGAATCACTTCTCAGAAAAAGGCAAGTATAAGTTACTTGATAAGTATTGCTCATTTTTCAAAAAGTTAAATCATGTTTATTTGTTTGAGATTAACATTGTCTTTCTAGAATAGTGATCTCTTAGAAATTATTCTTCTTTACTCCTTTAAGTACTGGAAAGACTCTCTAAGAGGCAAAGCCAAGCTCAGCCTTCCACATCTGTTTTAATGTCTGTGCCTGGCAGAGTATCTACGAAGGCACTAGGATTCAGCATTTCACCCAGCAAATTGTTGAGCACTTCCTAACTAGAACAGGATTTCTTAACCTCAGGACTATTTGGGGCTTGATAGTTTGTTGCAAGGGGCCGTCCGTGTTGTAGGATGGTTAGCAGCATCTCTGGCTTCCACCCACTAGATGCTAGCAGCAACCCACCCCCAGGTTGTGACAAACAAAAGTGTCCCCAGACATTGCCAAGTGTTCCCTGGTGGGTGAAATTGTCCTTGGTTAAGAAACACTGATCTAGAAACTGTACTGATTTCATATTACTGTCCAATAAAATTGTCTCTAATTTTGAATTTTAATCCCCGCTATATATTTGGTTTTGGAGCCACATTTGTCTCAGTCTGTCACCACGTACTGATGACTCTATCTTTAGCCTCATTTTCCCTCTTGGTTCCCAGACCCTTATTTACAAACATCTTGAGATTGATTTATTCAAAATGAGACTTACTCTCATCTTTTCCCAAACTGCTTTTCCTCATTTATTCTTGCTCTCCCAGGTCAGGACACTACCAATTATTCACGTATCGGTTATCAGCTCCCCTCTCTCCACCTCTCCTGTGAAATTCACCTTCTAAATCTTTCTAAATTCAGGGTTCTGTTTCCCAAGTATCACTTCTGTGTTAGTGGGTTCCTCTAACCTGAGTTGCTGCAGCAGTCTTTAACTTCCAACTTACTCCCTCCACTGCTGCCTTTAAAGTGCCCTTTCTAAAACGCAGGTCTAATCATGCTAATCACCCAGCACCCAGAGACCTTGGCATCTGGTCCTGCCTTCTTCTCTAGCCTCATCCCTTAGCCCTCTTTACTTAAGGTTCTAGCCATACCAAACTGCTTGCAGGCCCCTCAGCGCACTACCTTGCCTGACACTCGTTCTTCAGGCTGTGGTTAAAACTCTTGTCTCCCCTCTGTCCCTTTCACTCAGACCAGTCACTCCTTTCTCTCCCACTGCACCTGCAGAGATCTGGGTCTTCATCCTTATGATGCACTACAGGAATTTGTTCATGCATTCATGTGCCCTGCTAAACAACGAGTGCCTTGAGAACGGGAACCACAGTTTCTTTATCTCTGCCTGCTCCCCAGTGCCTGACATAGAGTGGGCACTTTGTAAATATATGTTGAATAACAAACGAAAATGCCCAGAGCAGAAGGAAGCTACCTGGGATTTCAAGGAGTTGTTTGTTTGGTTTGTTTTGGCTCAGTGAATAGTTACTAAGAACCAACTAGGTCCTGGGTGCTAGGAATAGAAAAAAGGACAAGGGCAGGATCTTTGCCTTAAAGCATTCACATCATGTCTAATACAAAGTAGGAGTACAAACAGAAGTTCAGTACAGGGTGATAAGTGTAAGCATAATCCATTAAAGTTCACATTGAGAATGAACTATGTTTGCATTTGGGGAAGACTCTCCCCACCCCTCAAATAGGCTTCTTGAAAGTATAAAAAGATACCGTTTCATCCTACTCTTAACCCTTTCTGTATTTGGTCAACTTCTATTTATTGTGGCTTTTTTAAATGGCTTTGACTTGGTCTTTCTTATTAAAATAGTTAGTATCAGCCTCCCTTATTCTGTTGCAGTGTCTGAGCCTGTGCTGTGTGAGTTGATTGTTTAAAAACATTGTCTTTGACCAAAATCACTCACCATTTATTTCAGTATTTACTGTATCTTTCTGATCGTGCAGTGCCCAACTGTTGAGAATAGTGATGCAGGTGGACCAGTGGCCCTGCCTCCTGATGGATGACCTAAAGTCTTTGATTCACCGTTACCTGTGTTCTTCAGTATATTCATGTATTATTTCATAACTAAGCAAATTGGAGTCATGTACAGAATGTATAATCTAAAGAAATTTTTATCTCTGAATAAAGTTGGTAATAATAATCTTATGTCAACATGGCTTATTTCTCTTACCAGTTTTCTTAACACTGAGCATACGTATTTCCCTTCCTATACACAGTGCCTTTTAGTTTGTAACTTAACTAGTTAATAAATGCAACTTTATTCTTTGGCTGAGGCATAAGATAATTAATCCAAAGGGAAACCTTTGCCTGTGGTGTCCAGGAGCCATTAAAGGGATTGCTGAGGAAAATGAATACAATTATTATACTTTTGGATGGGAGTGGGGCAGTGGGAGAATTTCAGAGAAGGGAATTACAGATAGGTAGAAGCAAACTGAGCACAAGGGAGAGATCATGAACTCACTTTTAAACATGTTGAGGCTGCTAGGTCTATGGCAGTAGACAGAAGGCAGCCTTTTAATTAGAACTTGATGCTCAAGAGGGATGCTAGGATTAGTAATGAAGCTGTGTGACAAGTAAGGTGGTATTAAGTATGAAAACAGGAGGATCTGGAACAGAACAGTGGAAAACACACATGGAGTGGGTGACCCAAAAGAAACTAGAAAAGGATGAACTTGACAGGTAAGAAGAGAACCAAGAGGAAGATTACAGAAGCTAAAGGAAGAGTGATGCTTCATGGTGTCACACGTTGCAGGAATAAGGGCTAAAAAGAGACTGCTAACTTTGGCAAGGAGGCCATCATTAGTTAATACCTCAGCAAGAGCATTTTAGCAGAAAGATGAGGATAGAGGAGGTCTAACTGCAGTGGGTTGAAGAATGATTGGAAACAAAGAAGTGGAATGTATACCTGTAGACCGTGCTCTCCGAACATTTCTATTCCTTTTGGGTTAGAGGTAGAGCACATACAAATGAAAAACCTGAGCATGTTTATGTAAGCTGAGATAAGGAGAGGGGAAGATTGATTAAACATATATGGGAACAGATGTCTGCAGAGTTTGAGAAGAAAATGAGATAAACAGCCAGGTGAGATGGGTTTGCCTGGAAATGGTACAGGGACACCTGTTTCTCCAAAACAAGAGAGAAGATGATAAAAAGTAGTAAAGGCAGATGTTTGTGGAGTGGATGGGAAAGAAACTGGGCTATTCCTGCTGGTAACATATCTCTTCTCTGTGAGGTGGGGAGCTATGCTATCTACTAAGGGTGACTGGCAGGAAGTAGGAAGGGATTTTAGGAGAGTGATAAAACCCTGGACTGTCAGGAGTGAATCAGACTAGGAGTAAATAAGATCAGGTTGATTTATAATGTCCCAGCAGAGAATGAAAGTGAGGCATTTATGACGACTCCAAGTCAGCATGGCTATATAACTCGCTCTAGTAGTGCTTACTAATTCTGGCACAGGACTAGAGAGTGGTTGGTTAAATTAATCCAGGTTGTGGAGTGGCCCAGTGGGGGAGGCAGACTGACTCTGAAGCAAGCAGATCGAGTACTACATTACAGAATTCATGCTATGTTTGGTTAAGTACTATACTCACTAAATTACTCTTCCTTTGTATTGAATTAGCCCCAACTCACAATCATAAGTTGACACGAAAGTTGTTGGATAAATACAGAATTCTGGAATGCAGATCCAGACTTCAAATGCTCTGTTTGATGCTAACAGACATTCCCCACTCAAAAGTAGAAGTTGAGAAATAAAGGCAAATAGATTTTCCAATCTATTGTTTGGTTGCACTCAGCCTTAAAAATTTGTTTCTAATTTTGTTATGGCATTTGAATATGTTTTTAAAGTGTATTCAGTAAGATATCACAATGTCTCCGGTGGAAAAGATAAGCAGGCGTTAGGAAAGCTTGAAACTCCCAGCAACTGGTTCATGTACTACAGTTCAGTCTTTTTAAGAATTCCTAATATGATTTCCAATGTTAAAACGTGTGATGATTTGCTGATTTAAGTGAAAAGCACATTGAGAAGTAATAGGCAGGCCCTGCTTAATTTGTTCAGTTTGCCTTGGTCAGTATTGAAACTGAGTTGGAGAAAGTGTTCACTGTTAACTATTTTCTGTGAATAGGGATGTGTGTGAATTGAAAGAAAAATTATTATATGCTCTGGTGTTATCTGAAAAGAAGTCTAGCCTAGGAGGGTTCTCATGCCAGGCTCAAACTGTCATTGTGAAGTAAACTGTAAGAGTCTGTCAGCTCCTCCACAGTGACCCAGGGAATGGAGGTTGGCAGGTTGGTGGGCCAGGCATCAGCTGTGAGGTGAGAGGACTTCAGCCAGAAAAGTGGCTACAGGCACGTTGGATTCTATCCATGTGTCTGCCTGGTGGCGGTCCTGTTATAGGTGAGGCTTGATGACGACTTTGATGATAACCCAAGTTGGGCCAATCCTTTTGCCTACTTCTGAGCATGAGGGAAGCAAACAGTAGAGAAAAGTGTGCATACATGCATTTGTAAGTAATTTTCTTTTTTTCTCTTTCAGGAGCTGGAATGCATAAAAGCAGCTGGCAGAATAGAAGACATGGGAGAAGAAGCCACCGGCAGAATCCCTGGTTCAGACAGCATGGTTCTAACGAGAGGCAAGTGCTGCTGTCCAGTGTCTTTTTAGCATTGACAGCACCTTCACACACACATGACTCACTGGGGGTCTCGGCAAAATGCAGGGTCTGAGGGGCCCAGCCAGAGTCTGCACTTCTGACAGGCTCCCAGGGGGGTGTCTCTGCTGCAGATCGGCCTGTCTGCCATGCTGGGGTAGTGAGGAGCTGACCACACTTGTCTTGCTTTTCAGAGTGACCATGACTTCTGACCAGAGCCTTGGCCACAGGCTTAGAAGTAAACATTATCTGATACAACTGAAGAGCTGCTTCTCCATTTTGTAGACTTGCTCTATCTTCTTTTTTTTTTCAGCTTATGAAAATAGCTTTCTGGCAACCTAACTTCATTAATTCAGCCTAAATCCTAAGTAAGGCTATATATAGTATATATGATAATATAAATAATACTGTATTTAGTAAACACAGAAAGTTATAAATAATACAGTGAACACCAACACTGTACCTTCCACCTAGCTTAAAAAAATAAAACTTAGTGTATACTTAATTGAAGTCCCCATAATAAATATTTTCCATACTCTACTTATTTCTCTGCATGAATTAAATACAGTCTAGTCTCAGAACAAAAGACACCCCTCCCTTCCCCTCCCCAAGAGAAAACACCTCTTCACAGTTCAAGGCTGCTGACATGACCTCTGGCCATAGGAAGTCTTTGCACAGCCCCCTCCTCGCCAAAGGAGACCCGTATGCCAATTTCAAAACTCTTCCACACTCCAGATCTCCTTTTAAAATGGACAGATTCCAGTTATAGGAGCAGAATATGTCAAATGCCAGGATGTTTCTCTAGAACGGATGAACCTAAACAGTGATGATTGAAGGCATCAAAATATGAAGGAACAAGGACCGTGGAGTTAGGAAGTCTGGGTTTGACACTCTGCTCTTTCCTGTGTGAAACTGCAAGCTTCTTAGTGACTTGGAGTCCCTCTTCCTGTACAGTACTTTTGTGAGGTTCACAATAATGTAAATAAAGCCACTGTCAGGCTGCTTGGTTCTGAATTGGCCCTCTGTACCTGGTCGGCCTCATTAGATGCAGCAGAAAATACTGCTCTGAACCAGAGTCCCAAACTTGACCCATATTTAGAAAGAGCAGGACAGCACCCAATATTTGTATGTTTTGTAAGAAGAAGCATGGATACTTTTTGGGCTCCAGGCCTTCCCACAAGAGTACAAAGTGTAGCAAAATGTGATCTGTGCAAGAAGAGAGTCTTGACTCAGCTTGACAGAGTTGCGTGGAAACAGTGGACAGCCACTTTCTGGGCTCCATGTGGAAAGAATGGAGCAGCAGTCCTTGGACTAGAAATGTAGACATTTGTCATGACACTTAATCCTTCCTCTTCTTGCTGCTGATCACAGACAGGCTGCCTCAGGAAGCTCTGGGCCATAAAAAGAAGGAAAATAAATAATTTCCCTGAAACTGTGCATAGTTAGTATTAATAGACAAAAGAGAAAGTTCTTTCATTCCTTCATCCTGGTTTTGCAATTTGTATTCTTTTTGGTATTGTGGGGCAGGGGAAGTTCTTGATTGTAGCAGGATTCTAAAATTAGGTCTTTTGTTCTATCATTATATCCTTTAGTCTAAAATTGCCATGAAAGTGGCTTATAGTTTTGCAAAGTGAGCGTTTAAACCATGGTTCTATCCCAGTATTACTGAGCAAATCAACTCTGTGCCCTGAACCCCAGTTTCTCCATCTGTAGGGTTGGGTAGCCAAGTAAAGTTTAAATTCTCCATACTGCTCAGTCTAATAAAGAATGAAATTCACCTGGCCTTGTAACTGTTATTGAGCTGACAAATAAGCCCAGCTGGTGAAATTCTTATTGGCCAAGATCTCTGTTCTCATTTTCATCTGGAAAATTCCAAAAGACCTCACAAAATGTTCAAATGAGCAGATACAGAAAGAGAATTACTATTACATGCATTCATTTAAGGATGAGAAACCAAAACCTTGCCCCGACTTAGATATATTTGCATTAGGCAAACTGCTTCCAAGGAAAAGAGGGGTCACTGCTCCCCAAGTAATTGGGGATCAGAGGGTCAGAGGTGAAGGCTGTGGAACTGTAGGACCCCACAGTCAGAGAATTACTGGGACTCAAGCCCTTGGCTACAAGTTACCGTGACTGTGTGTCAACAGGCATAATGCGGGGGCACAGCAAAGCCCACGGCGTTCTAGCCACTGCGATGACGAGGCCCCCTCCACCTCATCCGGCACAGCTGGCAGTTCTTCTGTGCCAGGTAAGGCAACCTGCTGGACAGATCTCCTTCCGCCCTGCCAGTGGGGAAAGATTAAAAAAAACCTTGTCCTGCCTCCTCATCTGGTTACGTCTGTTCTGACTGTTCTTCTCAGCCTTGTGTGTCTTCAGTTACATGTGGGTACACTTCATGTGTGTCACCAGCCTGTTCCTGGCTCGGAGGAAATTCTGGGAGCAAATTGAAACACTAAAGGGAGGAGCTGGCGTGTCTAGAATGGTGATCCTGAGGCAAACATCTCCCCCAGTGCTGACCTGGGCCCAGGATGGCGCTAGCCCACCTCCTGCCCTCAGAAAAGTCCGGCAGCTGTGAGGGCTGGTGGACAGGCTCCGGGGCTCCTTACTGCGTGGCTTAGTTCATGGTATTTTAAGTTGGATTTTATTTCTTTTGACTAAAGATCTACCAGGTTATTACTATGATCCTGAAAAGAAGCGCTATTTCCGCTTGCTCCCTGGACATAACAACTGCAACCCCCTCACGAAGGAGAGCATACGGCAGAAGGAAATGGAGAGCAAGAGGCTGCAGCTGCTAGAGCAAGAGGACAAGCAGGGAAAGGTGGGCTCCACGCTCCCGCCGGCTATCCTGTCCCCTCCTCTCCTGCCAGCCTCCGCCCACTGCCGCAGGGAAGTGCCAATTAAACGCCCCTGTAACACTCAGCGCAGCGCACTTTAGGGAGGGTTGCAATGAATTTTCCCTGACAGGAACCTGATGAAGAGTGTAAGAACAGGCAAGAGATCTCCCACCGCCACCCCGCTTTTCTTATTTGCTAGGCCTCATCAGTAATTCTAACATCTTCTCCTTCCCTGGGAGACTCACGGGTAGCAGTATGGTAGAGCTTCGGTAACTGTGTATTTTAAATAGAAAATCAGGGCGTGTGGTTTAGATATGAGGATTTCTGGTATCCCTTCTGGGGGTGGATGCCAGGGCATTTTGATGATTATGGGACAATAGAATGGACAATCTGGGCCCCACGGTCACCATAGGTCGAATGGAAAGCACAGTGCAGACCTGAGTGTCCAGTGCCATCGCTGCGCTCAGTAGCTCGGTGGCCTCATCTCCCCAGGTATACATTGATGGGGGCTTGGAGGGGTGCCAAGCAGACTTCCCAGCTCACACATGCTTTATTGTAATGGGGTTTTCCTCTTTCCAGGGAGAGGAGGGCCCACTACACACTGACTGAGAACTATCACAAAGTAACTCTCCCTTGGATGTGTTGTAGCAAAGGAGACCATCAGATTTTTATGCATGTGATTTCTGCCAGCATAGTGCCTATTTCTTCATTGCATCCTATGAAACTAAAAACAGTCTCCATTATCCTGTAACATAAAACCTCATTGAATCTTTCTCTTTTTTTTTAATTTAGAAAATAGCCAGGTTGGGATTTAATGCATCTTCCTTACTACAAAAAAGCAAGCTGGGTTTTCTCAACGTCACCAGCTATTGCCGGTAAGACAGTGCCTCCTTGTTGTTTTCTTCATGAATGCTTTTCTCCTATTTCTAATTTTTGGGGTCCAAGAATCCAGTCAGGATAGAGCACGTAGCTACTCTGTGAGGAGTCTTCACAATTGCGTCTCCAGCTCACAGCCTACCTTCTATTGCTGAAGTCAGCCCTGAGAGAGTCATTCTTCCTCGGGGGGAGGGGGCCCCTCCTGCTTGTCTCCAGGGAGAGCGGAGAGGGGCTCTAGGCAGCGAAACTGGGCAGAAGTTTCTCAAGATGTTTCCTCTGTGTTACTTGTAAATCATTTTTAGTTTAGTAGAAGGTTCTTTAACTTCATCTCATCAGACTTCTGCCTCCTTTTCCCTTTCTAATGAGTTGTCAACAAAAATGGAACATTAAATGGATGTGTACTAAATTTTATCTATATTCTTGTGATGTCTGATACAGTTCTAACTAAAACCCTGTGAGATAGGTTGATACTTCCCCCAGGTTCCAGCTGAAGAGACTGAGACTCAAAGTGGAATGATTTGCCAAAGGTAAAACTAGAAAGGGTGGGATCTGTCCTGATTCCTAGGCCTGAGCTTCTGACCCCTGCACTCTGCTGCCTCCCACTGTGCCTGGGCCAGTGAGGAAACAACACTGTGTGGGTGGCTTACAGGAGGCGGCCCCCTTCAGGGAAGGCCAGTCCTGCAGGCAGTGTCCACCAGGACAGGTAGAGGCGTGTCCCTCCTTCTGAGAGGGAGATGAGTTAAAGGTCTAGTTAGAGAGATCTGTTCTCCAACCTAAAACCTGCTCGGTCCTCGGAGAGGGAGAGGAGCACTTAGATGGGTGGCTGTGTGCCTGGCTTCTCATTAACTGTGTGCCCTTCAGCAGGTTGTCCATTTCTCAGGCACATTCTCTTTGTCTCAAAAGAAAGAGCTGTGTAGGTGATCCAAAACAAATCCCTCTAGTTCTGACTTTCTTTGACCCTGTGAATGGGCCACCCATTTCTTTGCTTTAGTTTTCCTAAGAATTCTAAAACTGAGATTCTTTGGGGCCTTGCTCAACTCCATTGCTGAGATTTAATATGGAGAGGAGAGGGCTGACCAGGGGAGATGGTCTTCAGGGGACAGGGCAGAACCCCAGCATCTTCTTTATGGATATCTCCATATGTATCCATACCCGCCCTGCCCCCTCTTTCTCCACTGCAGTTTAGCCCATGAGCTGCGAGTGAGCTGTATGCAGAGGAAAAAGGTCCAAATTCAGAGCTCGGATCCCTCCGCTTTGGCAAGTGACCGATTTAACCTGATACTGGTGAGTGGGAGGAAGCTTTCTGTGGTGCCGGGAGCATGGTTGCCATCCCCCAGACAGTTCATGGCTTAGCATTGAAGCCAGTTGCCATGAAAGCAGGTGGCATCTTCTTAATCTTATGGTTTTAATAAGCGCCTATCAGGTACCCATCGGCAGGTGCCAAGCTGGCAAGATAGGCTGTGATGTGACCATCATTACCCTCATTACAACTCTGTCACTTGACATTAGAGCCAGGGCCCACCACACACTGACTGAAAATGATCACAGAGTAACTTTCCCTTGGATGTGTTGTGTACACAATTGAAAGGTACACAGTGGACCAGGGGCTTCTAATCCTCTCTGTACTAGGCAGGATGGTGGCCAGACCTGAAGCCCCAGTGTCCTTCAGTGGCAATAACGTATTAGTCCCTTGCTTGCTATCACTGACTTCAGTAGCAGGGGCCTACAGGCTGTGTCCCTGGGCCTACACAACCAGCATACCTCCATTACATCATCTGCAAGAAGCAGAAAGTCTTCTCTACTTGTGGTTATACCTGGTCTGGAAGCCAGGGACAACTACTTGAGCTTACGGGCCAGAGAAATGTTGGCAGAGGACCAGAAGGTTCACTGCAAACAGGAGCCACACCTCTCTGCTAGACTGGCAACTTGAGGCCACAGGAGAGCGTAGCCTGCCCTGCAAGCCCTGGCCTTCCTGGAGGCCAAGGGATAGCCAAGGAGAGTGAGAGAAGGATACGAAATAGAGAGCCTCAGCCTGGTGGCTTGCTGACAGGACTGGAGGCCAAGGCTACAGAACTGACCTTTGAGGTCCTGCCCCAGGAGACTTCGACAGCAGAGCCCTCCCACGTTAAGGGAGGTTGGAATCCGGAACTCACATACTCCCCTGTGTTTGGGGTACAGTTTGACCTCAGTCAGTAGAATACTTTCTTGCAGTGGGTTCCCCTCAGGAGCTCTTTCCCTGGGGTTCTTCAGGAAGCCGGGTGGGGACAGTGGAGGTCACTGTGCACCTGCTACCGAGCGTAGCCTGGGTGCGTGGTCTTCACACTTTGTTTCACACAAACTGTGTGCTGGCTCTTGGAAGACCTTCCTCTCAGGCAGAGTCACGATGACTGGCTGGCTGGTATGACCAGAGGGGTGAAAAGTGCTGTTTGCCACCCAGGGATCAATTTTTTTGGATCTGACTCTACCACTGGTAATGATTCTTCAGGAGCATAATTGTCCTTCCCAAGTGAACTTGCAAAGTGAGTGCATTTTCACCAGCATCCAAACCCACGTATGTGTGTATATTTTATATTTATGAATTTATACAAAGCACAAAAATATGTAGAGGTTTTGCTTTGAAATAATTATTAACCATAGTTTTTAATGAAAAAAGAAAATTTTAAAAAAATAACCCAGATCCCAAGCAGTCTTTTCTTTTGTAATATTTTTTTCACTGCAATGCCCTTTTTTTTCTTTAATTTGGTAGTAATCACAGGTCCTGTATAATAGGAATACAATTTTGTCTCCTCTTTTTAGCCCCTTGGCAATTATAACTAGCATTTTCCACATTACTGTGTGACTTTCATGATGGCTGCATGTTCTGTCACCAAGTGGTTCATCTGAGCAGTTCCTTTGGATGGACATTAGGACTCTTCCAAACCCAGTTCTGAGTCGGGTCACTGTGCAGACCTCAGACTCCTGGCCATGCCCCCTCACTGCCATTTCTATGCCTGAATTGTGAGACCAGGCACCTGTTAGCTTTGCCCAGTGGTGGCTACACCAAGTAGGGGCAAGTGAGATCATTCCACACTCCCTTATGGATGGGAGCTCTCAAGCGGTGAAAATGCACAAAGCATGGGGTCTGGGGAGATGGGCTTAGGCAACCCACCCAGCTCAGCCTGGGAGGTCACCTCCAGTCCACGTCTCCCTTCTAGGCGGATACCAATAGTGACCGGCTCTTCACGGTAAATGATGTCAAAGTCGGGGGCTCCAAGTACGGCATCATCAACCTGCGCGGCCTCAAGACCCCTGCATTCCGGGTGCATATGCATGAAAACCTCTACTTCACCAACCGGAAGGTACCCAGTGTGCTGTCTAGGGGGCAGTCTTTACATTGCAGTGGGCTGATGGCTGTATCTGTAAGAAGCTGTGACTTTCTGTTCTTTGGGACGTGAGCCACAAGACGGCTACAGGTTGAAAATGGTTTCTGGGTGAAGTGAGATCCAGTACACCTTCAGAGTTAGGTTTGTCCCTACCATTGCCCAGAATTCATCCCTGCCCCGGAGGGTGTACCAGATGTCTCATTGTGAGGCCCATGCTGAGTATGAAGAACTGAGGCCTGGGGCTACTTCCTCCTGTTCCCTCTCTAGGCTCTACATGGTGGGGTAGGGAGCTTCCCCGTTCTCAGGATGCTTGTTCCAGCCCCCTTTCAAGGAGTGAGAAAAGAAGAAAGAAGTCACATACGTGTATTCCACAAGAAAGTATTTGTCTCTTTCTCTCCATGAGTTGACAGTCAAACCAATTTTTGCATCTTGCTATGTGCTTCCTCACCAGGTGAATGCTGTGTGCTGGGCCTCACTGAATCATCTGGATTCCCACATTCTGTATCTTTTGGCAGGTAAAGGGGTTTGGTGGGTAGGCCATGCCCTAATATGGACCTAGGCATCTGTGGGGTTTGTGAGATGGTATCGTAGTCTCTAGAAGTCTGGGCCATTCTGCACATACACCTCACCCTGTAGGAAAGAGCAGTGCACCTGGGTAGAAAATAAGGCTTCCCATGAAGCACAGAGAAGTAGTTGAGGTCCTAGGATGATGTCACTATGTGCCAGACACTTCTGAAACCTGAGTCAGTGCTTTAGCAGAGGAACAAAGCAGAAGGGAACAGTAAAGCCTTGGAAAGGAACCCCAAATCCTCCTGAGGCCAAGGAGGAGCCCAGAGCTGCAGTGGTCCTGGGGCGAGGGAGGCTGAGGGCAGGCACCAGAGGAGGAGGTTCCTTTGACATTGGACTGGGGCTGTGGGCTCTGGGCCTAGGTCGCCAGCCGGAGATGGCTTCTTTAGAGCACTCTTCATTCTAGTCTGTGCCTTCCCTTCCCAGAGAGCCATCAGGGATTTGTAGGAACATAGTATATACTGTGTAGTGTCAGGGGAGCTGGGTCCTTCCTTGCAATCCCTGGGGGCTCCTGCTGATGCACAGGACAGCTGTCCCTCATGTCCTTCATGGAGTGAAGTTGTTTGACCCAAAGCCACATATTACTGAGTCTTACAGTTCATTTCCGTAATAAATGAGTTCTTAGAACTATGTGACCACTTGTTATACCGAACACCAACTTCACGAGTTGTCATGAGGTTAACTAGTTAACATCCATGAATTCACTTAGCACAGTGCGTGGCCACGTCATGGTTCCTCAACAAATGATGCCTGAATTGGAACCTGGTTTTTTCAGGGTTTTTTTAACAGTTTGTTCCACAGCACTCTATTTCGAAAGGTTTTAAAGCCTAAAGCACATTAGAGATCTGATTATAAATTTTATGTAAGACAAACAGAGAACTTGTGTGTTCTGTAAATTGAAAGTTTTATGTGGCTTTCATTTCGTCGGGTTCTGGGATGTGATGGGACCATGTGTTATTATGATGATCTTACCAGAGGGCAGAAGAGATCAGGCCTTAAAAGAGAGAAAACAACCTGCTCTCATTTCTGATCTTCAAATGATACGGCACTGTCTCCACACTTTTCTCGGTGGGCTAAAGAGAGGACAAAAATCCACACACAGGCGTACCTCAGAGATATTGTGGATTCGGTTCCAGACCACTGCAGTAAAGCGAATACCGCAATAAAACAAGTCATACAAGTTTTTTGGTTTCCCAGCCTGTATAAAAGTGATGTTTACACTATACTGTAGTCTTTTAAGAGTGTGATAGATGCTCATCATCTGAGCCTTTAACAAGTCATAATCTTTCTGAATCAAAGATCACTGATCACAGACCACCAATAACAAATACAACAACAATGAAAAAGTTTGAAATACTGTGAGAATTGCCAAAATGTGACACAGACACAAAATGAACAAATGCCATTGGGAAAATAGTGCCAGTGGACTTGCCCTGACACCTGGTCACCACACACCTTCTGTTTGTTCAAAACAAAGCACACACTGTCTGCAAAGCGCAGTAAAACAAGGTATGCCTGTAATTGGGTTTAGAGAGTGTGGTCTCTTGTAGTTTGATCAGCGGCTTGCCCCCTGGTGGTCATTTCAGGTAATCTTCAGGCTTTTGTGCACCTGCTGCTTCTGCTGAAGGTCGTGGAAGTTTCTCCCTTCACAAAACGGAACCTGATTCAGACCTGTGCTCTGTGCTTTTCCCCAAAGAGTGGTGGGAAGTTAGACTGCATTTTTCCTGCACTTACGAGGTTATGCATTGACCTGTGGCCTATGAAAGGATTAAATCTATGATACTGGCCCTGTAAGAACCGTACAGGGTTTGAGTGTAACCTGGCTTTCAGCCATAGTCACTAAAAGTGTACCTGGGTAAGGACTTTCTCCCTTTTGCCCTTAAAACCCAGAAGGAAAAGAGATTTATTTCAGAAAGAATTGAGCTGCCCGATATGGCATTCTCGTTTATAATTTTCAGCAGCCACTGTCCTGGACATCCTTAACATGGAGCTGACTACCCAGTGCAACATGATAAGCCCACGTCACACATTCGGACTGTCAAGACTGGTGCCTCATTATGTGGCAGAGATGTAGATTTTTCAATGAGGTGTGCATGAGTGTTCGTTCCACCAATGTCTGTTGAGCATATTCAGTCCCCGTGCAAGGTGCTGGACCTGGGCAGCTGAACGGGTGGTCAGTCTATGCAGTGATGTCTGTGGGGCAGTTGAATACAATAGGGTGCAGAGATGGGGGCAGCCTTTCTGGAGGTGGTTCCCACATGGGAAGGAGAGGACAGAGCTCCAGTCAGAAGGAAGAGTGAGGAGAGAGCTTGGCATCTTTGCAGCAGCAAGTGGTTTGGTATCCGTGATGTCTCTGGCTAGGTAGGGCCTTGCAAGGCCAGATCTTCAGGCTGTGGGGTGCCCCTGAAGGACTGTGGTCGAGGAGCCATTTCTTACATAGCAGTGTGGGTGATGGGCTGGTGAGGGTGAGACCTCGGACAGAAGGCCGCTGTGAGAGTAAGAGGGCAGTGGAGAGGGGGAGAACTGATGGGCAGCGGGGGAGGAGAGGCATGAATCCAGGAGGCTTAGAATCAAGGCCAGGGAATCTTGGTGATAGGAGAAGGTCCAAGGCTGAAACACCAAGAGGAGTGTATAGTTAGAAACTGCTGCTCGGCGCAGGGCAGGACTGAAAAGTATTCATCAGATTTAGAAATTAGGAGCTCATTGGAGACTTTGGGAAGAATGTTCCAGGCGAGGGTCAGACCTGGATTTCAGTGGGTTGAGTCAAAGAAAGGCAAGGAAGTGGGGATAAACATAGGTTTCTGTTGGGAGAAGTTTGGCTCTGAAGGGAAAGGAACCAAATCAGTCAGAAGAGAGACAGTCCAATAGAAAAACAGACAAAGGGAATAAAGAGGCAGTTCAAAGAAAGGGAAACCCAAATTACTGTAATCAGAGGTAGTCAGGGAAATGCAAATTAAAATGAGATATTTTATGCCCATTCAGATGAGCACAGATTTTTAAAGTCTGATAGTGCCAAATTTGGCAAATGTGGAGAATGGGGGAAGCTGCTGGTGGGAGTAAATGAGACAGCCACTTTAGGTTGCAAGTGAATGTACCCTCCCGCCCCACAGTTCCATTCCAGGTACAGACACTGGAGCCATGTTTCCAAACTTGAGTCATAACCTATCAGAGGACCATGAAATCAGTTTATTGAGCAGCTTTTTGTTTTAATGAAGTAGACTAGAAAATATCAGTTTCGTATTTAGTAACATTAAATATTTTATGAAACTTTAAAACGCCTGTGTGTATATAGCACATTGTAGTGTAAAGTGAAATTCTTACCATGGATGTAAGAAACTGCTTTAGAGAAGCCTCCCACACATGGGAGTGGGAGACAGGATAGGAAGAGAGGCTCATTCCAGCCACGGAGCGGAGGAGAAAAAAGGGCCAAAACGACCTCAGTGCCCATCAGCAGGAGACGGGATAAATAAATTGGGGTGTATTCATACACGAGGATGCTCTGTGGTGATGACAGATGAGCTGGAGCTGCAGACAAACACAGATGACTAGGAGGCAATGCAGGCTGAACAGTTATAGGAGATTCTGTGTGCTGTGATTTATGTATATTTTAAAGCCAAGTAGTTCATTATATTGCTCATGGACAAGTATCATATCGGGGAAGTATTGTGGACTAGACCTCAGACCAGTTTTAGAATAGTGATTCTTTCTGGGTAGGGAAAGTTAAAGGGAGGCTTTTAACTGTGACCTTTTTTCCTTTAAAAAAATATGAAACGTGTTAAATATGAATGATGGGTATTATTAAGAATTTTTGAAAGCTACTAATGCCTATTCTCCTCCCAGAGGAGACCTTGTACTTGACTGTCCTTAACAGCTTTTCCAGGCTGTGCCTCATGGGAATTGCAGAGACTCCAGGCTGCGCCACCCTGCTTCCAGCATCACTGTTTGTCAGCAGTCATCCAGGTACAGGGGGTCCTTTTCCTTTGGATAAGGAGGTGCTCTGAGGAATGTCTCTGTCCTCTGCCTCCCAGGAGCTGCAGCCAACAATGGCATAAGCTCCATGGTGATGGCTTGGACAGGAGGGCTGGGAACCACAGGCTGGGTGAGCCAGGTCAGAGCTCGCAGGGTAGGGACAGTCTGCAGAAGCAACTGGGAGGATTCCTTAAACTGCCCCAGGATTTGTACATGTGCATCTTCACTTAGCACCTCCCTTTGGTTCATTTCAGTAGCCAGAACAGTTAAAAGCGTGTGTAACCAGTACAAGAGATCAAAATACTTACTTGGGCTGCCTGTGCAGATCATCCAGAGAACATCTGTTAAGCTCCTGCCGTGTGGCAGGTGTTGTCAGAGATACTTCCGTTCTGTCTGGCTGAAGACAGTTCAACTGCCTGGCAGCATTCTGGATATTAAGTTTTCGGTCTTTCAGAGAATTAGGATCAATTGGATGAGGGTCAGTCCTGTAAGAGTGCTGGCATGAATCCCAGCTCTGCCCCTTCCCAGCTTGAACAGATTGCCTGACCTCTGTAAAGGAAAGATAATACCTACCCCCTCGGGGTACATGGAGTGACTTAATGCACACTTAGCCGGTGCCTAGCATTTCATCATACAGCAAGCTTATGAGGCGGGAGTATGTGTTATCACCATTTCGCAGGTGAGGAAACTGAAACAAAGGTGTTCAGAATTTGCCTTACAAAACTGAGAGATGGTGTTAGAAGTCAGGATAGTGGTTCTCTTAGGGGACGAGTGCGTGGGGAGGTAGTAATTGGGAGGGGACACAAGGGGTCTATTTCTTAACCTGGGTGGTGGTTACATGCCTGTACTTACTTAGAGATGACTCATTAAACTTATACTATGATTTGTACCCTTTATATATGTTTTATTAGTTAAAAAAGTTTAAAAAGTTTGCCTGAGTTCACACAGCTTTGAGTGTGATCTGGAATTGAAACCCTCTTATCTGTGACACCACACTGCCTCCCTGGTGGCTGGTATTTCTAGCTCCCTGGTATTTCTAGCACTGCTGCTGGGAA